GATACCACTGCAGTGAACCATGAACTGAAATGGAGAGGAACCGCACCAAAGGTCCACTAGTTGAAGATGGTTTGGAGCTGCAAAGGACTCTTTGTGTGGCTTCTACTCTGCCTAGCAGTTTCAGTATGCTCTGAACCCTGTTTCTGGTTGGATTCAGGTCAGTTTCCCCTCCACCAACCCCTGCATTTGCTAACTTGTAGTTTCCTCATCTTTTACTGATTCTTTACCCAGTCCTGATTCTTGGGGTATTTATAAAGTTTGATGATGAAAATGCATGCAAATTGCTTAGCATAGTATTTAGGGCAAAAGAGGTGCCCAAATACTAATTCTTCGTAGGAATATAGGCAGTCCAGATAATTCCCAATTTACAAGAATGTTCTGTTCAGACCATGCTGTCACAATCAGTTTTAAATTTTCATTTTGAATATTATTTCCTATTAGTGTCACTATTTTTATAAATCTTTGTCTTTGGAGTTGGAAACATTGCATATAACTATATACATATATATTTAATGCATAGCATACAGAATATATATATATATTCATTTTAAAAAGACATTGGCAGAGATAAGAACCAGAAACACACACAGGGAATCCAGGACAGATGATCCCTTCAGGACCAGTGGTGAGAGTGGCAATACCAGAGGGTGAAGGGAAGATGGGGTAAAAAGGGGGAACTGATTATAAGGATCTACATATAACCTCTTCTGGGGGACAGACAACAGAAAAGTGGGCGAAGGGAGATGGACAATGTAAGAAATGACAAAACAATAATAATTCATGAATTATCAAGGGTTCATGAGGGAGGAGGGAGCAGGGAGGGAGGGGGGAAATGAGGAGCTGATACGAAGGGCTTAAGTGGAGAGCAAATGTTTGGAGAATGATGAGAGCAACAAATATACAAATGTGCTTGACACAATTGATATATGTATGGATTGTGATAAGAGTTGTATGAGCCCCCAATAAAAGGATTTTTTTTAAAAAGACACTGACATTGTGTCAGCTGCAGTAAGAACTCCACTCTTGTGAAAGTTTCCTGATCTAGTCTAGGATATCTCTGGGAATGGGTATGGCGCTTCTAGTCAGAAAATAAATGTGAGGGGTCTGTATGATCCTTTGATGGACTGCAGCATTGTTGTAGTATATGTATTAGGCATGCAATCGCATTATGAAAGTTTGTAGTACTGCAAGAATTACCCAAATGTAAAGGACATGAAGTGAGCACATGCTTTGGGGAAAATGGCACTGGTAGACTTGGTCAACATGGAGTGGCCACCAACCTTTAATATGGTTTTGTTTGTTTGTTTTGAGGTGGTAGGGACAAAATCTGTGGGGCACAACCAAAAAAGGCATGTCTGGAACAAGGCAGGACCACTTCTAGTAGAGACGGGATATTAGTTAGAATTCAGCACGCTCCTGACAGGTGGGCTATTTTTTATCTAGGGAAGTGACGGTGTGAGGGAGAAGAAAGGGAAAATGGACTAGCTGTGCTTATTCGTCTATTGGCTCTTTCAGCCCAATGGGGTTTTCTACGCTGAAATAACTATAGGTTCCCAGGAATTTGAAAAAGCTGTAGAGAGTCGTCTCCTATACTCTTCACCCAGATTCCCCAGTGAGTATGCAAAGACAGAAAACTGTCAAAAAAATTTTTAATTACATTGAAGCAACGTGTATGTGTAATTCTGGGTGGGTCCTTTTTTCTTCACATAGGATGGTTTGTGAGATTTCACATAGGATGATTTGCGATATTCAGCTATTTCATTATCATGTAGATCCCCTTTATAGTCGTACCTGACCCAATCCCCACCCTCCACCCCAGCTCTAACCCCTGGCAATCACTAATTTATGCCCCACCTCTTTAAGTGTTCCAGTTTGCGCACGCGTGCTAGCTACATGCATGGAGTTGTGATGCCAGGACTGGCCGTGCGGCCCTGGAGAGTCATCCAGGGTGGCTTCGTGTTACTTTTGGCTGCGCAGTGGTGTCCTATGGCCCAGATGCACCACAGTTGCACATCTCACCTATGCAGGGCATGTTGTTTTTCAGTTTGCAGCTATTAAAATAAAGCTTCCGTAAAGAATTGTCTATAGGTTTTGTGGGGGCATACATTTTTACTTCTCTAAGATAAACATCCTGAAGTGAGAATGCTAGTTCATATGATAAAGCATATGTTTAGTTTGTTTTAAGAAAGTGATGAATCATTTTCCAGTGTGGCGGTGTCGGGACATAATATCCTTTTCTGTCCATGGTGATTTTCTTTGCTCTGAGGTCTACTTTATCAGCTACTGATGTCGTGGCCTGTTTCTTCTCTCATGTCTGCTCTCATGTTTACCTTCTCTGCTCAACTATGAGTCATGTAGGGTCATGAGCCATCGGTCTCCTTGATGGCAGGAGCCATCAGCAATGAATCCTAGGAAGCTCAATAGCTCACAGTACAGAGAGAAGAACGCGGGAGGCTAGTGACTGCTATCCTGGGATAGCTTCAATCTGGGAATCCAAATGGGCAGCTGCTTTGAAACTGGCATGTTATCTGAATTATGAAAGTGGCACGCTGTCCCTGATATGTTCGTACAAACAGTCTAGTTTTATGATTGACGCCTGCTTTTCATCTGAGGGCCTAGAATATTTGTATGAGTTGAGCAGAGGGTGCCTACGTGCCCAGCCCCCAATAGAAACCTTAAGTGCTAAGTCTCTAATGAAATTCACCGGTTGACAATATTTCACATTGGGTGATTCCACTGAGAGAGGACTTTTGGACGGTTGCTCCTGGCTTCCTCCAATCTTTACTTCATGTACCTTTTCCCTTTGTTGATTTTGTTTTGTATCCTTTGCTATAATAAGTCTTGGTTGTAAAGACAAGTGTTAGTCCCCCTAGTGTATTGTTGATCTGGGTTTTGTCTTGAGGACCCCTAGAGACTCACAAAGGATGTACGTATCACTGTGTTGGGTGTACATGGGAAATAAATGGTCTCCCCCAAATTCAGGCCTGAGGTCATAAATATGTCTGAATCCAGAAAAGCCACAGAGAGATGGGTAACAGTAGAAGAAGTATGAGGTCCTTCCACTCACCTCGTATCTGTTTCCTAAAAGCCATTCAGTATGTGTACATGCGTGTACTTGTGTGGTTTCGATGCAGGAATGTGTACATGTATGCATGTGCGTGTGTGTGCGTCAGGTGTATGGCTAAAGAGGTTGCGACGAGGGAGCTCAGTCTTTTTCGAATGCCACAGCTTGACGTTCACAGTAAGTTGGTCTAACTGTATTTGAGGGTCTTTCCTCACTTAACCTTCCAGACAGGAATTGTTCCAAAGTTGATAATAGTGTATCCAGGGCACAGTGTAAACCAAAAAATCACAAATGAAACTCTGTGAAAGGAGAAGGGGAATAGTTAGCTTTAAGGGAACGTTTTTGAAAGCAAACACAAACTTCCGGCACCTGCAAGTCCTCCAGGGAAACGAGGAGCCATTGCTGTGTCTGGACACTGATCATGTAGGCGACTGGGCAGGAATTGTACGTGTCATGTGGGGGCCTGGGGGGGGGGCAGAAATGTAACTCTCAGCTTCACGAGCCCCACCCTCTGAGGCCATGCAGCAGGCTTATCTGCGTCTGCAGCCTCACTGGACCCAGGTCCAGAGACTCAGCCAGACTGTGAAGGGACAGTGGCATCCACTTCAATCCTCCTGCACCCCAGGCACAGGTGGGCCCTCTGGGCCCAAAGATGGCCCACATAAGGGTGCCATCAAGAGGGGCCAGGAAGAGCAGGAAGAAGGATGCAGAAGTTGGAAATAGAGAACTGGACATTCCTCAGAGACCAAACCAGGGCCTCGAAGAACAACGACTGTGTCCACCCTAAGTGCCAGAGAAGTAGACCAGGAGGATAAGCAGAGTCCTGGTGGTCAGCCAGAGGAGTCCAGGTTACTCAAAGGTCTTTGCATCCCTCAGCTAGGTCAAGGCCTGTGTCAACACAAGGTGGCCAGGCAGCCTAATTAAGGAGCCCCGCCCCGCCCCGGGGGCCATGAGTGATGCCAAAGGACTGCGGGCTGTGCCTCACCCTGCCCTCAATCCACCAAAACACTTCCCCTTCTTTGGGCATGAGTTCCTTCTCAGTGGGTTCTTACCACCTACCTTTTGTAGCTTCATGTTGCTCTGGAGGGGGCAGCCATGACTGCTCGTGCTTTTCTTCTTGCATTTGGTCCGGCTAATCTTCATGGTGACCATGTACTCCACTCCTGTCGTCAACTACCGGGAAGCAACTGCACAGTTAGTTTGACATCAAGCAACAGGTTGCTGAGTGTCCCCAGGAGGGCTAGGTCTGAGGCAGAAGCCATGGGGGCATTTCTTCCCAGAGCTCCGTCAGAGACATGGCTCTCTCCTTCCCCTCAGGTGGAGGATGTCCAAAGATTGCCACAGTCCCTGTTTCTGACTGGGTTTTCTGGTGCCACCAAGGGCAGTTTCTCACCTGCTTCCCATTCGTCTTCAAGACAAGGGAGGCAACCTACCAGGCTTGCCTCTCCCAGGTCTGTCTGCGACATCCTCATACTACACACAGCCAGAGCTTTATGGGCTCTTCCCGCCTCCACTCATTTCTTTTCTTTGTCCCAACCAACTTGATGGAAAATAATTTAACAGACCATGAGCTGTTGAATCTAGATTTGGAGTCTAGGTTCCCCATTTATTAACTGTAACCTTAAGCAAGTTATCCTTAGCAGTCTCAGCTTCCTCACTTCAGGGGCAATCAACATAACTGTTCATGGAGGTGTTACATAGGTTAAATGAAAGCTTGCATAAAATAATTTAATGGCGTGTCTGCAGCATGGTCTGCAGTCCAGGAAGATTAGCTGCTGATGGCATTAGTAGGTCTGTGAGGCATCTGTGGAACCTGAGTAGCGACAGAACGGAAGACAGACGAGGTGAGATCAAGTCCCACCTTGAACAAGTCCTCCCCTCGACTGAGTCTCAGTTTCCTCACCTAGAAAATGGGCCAGGGGATAGGGGCAATGCCTGTTCAAATGATCAGATGCTCTGTGTGGAATGAAGGAAGGGGGCTGGTGACTATGTGAGGCATGGCGAACACATGCCAATGACTGTTTTATTTGGTTGTAATGTGGGGGGAGAGAGGGAGAACCAATCACAATGATCCACATATAACCCCCTCCCAGGGGGAAAAACAACTGAAAAGGGGGTGAAGGGAGCAGTCATTGAAAGACAGGAAAAATAATTTATAAATCATCAAGGGCTCATGAGGGAGCTGATACCAAGGTCTCAATTAGCTGATACCAAGGTCTCAAACAGAAAGAAAATGTTTTGAAAATGATGATGGCAACATATGTACAAATGTGTTTGACCCTATGGATGGATGTAAGAGCTGGAAGGGCCCCCAATAAAATGATTTGTTTTTATTGCTCATAAACAATTACTTTACAATTGACTGCTGGTGATCGTGGATTGATTTCACAAGACAGGCTTCCTAGGGTTCTCGAGTTTTTCCTTGGGAAGACACTTCAAAGAGAATAAGCCAACTTTGGTCAATGGCCAACACCTGGTAGTCAAATCACTTTCATGTTCTTGGCCCTAATGATGAGCAAGACTACCACCTTGTGGCGACAATGTGTAACTGTTTGATCCGGGGACATCCTGATAATGTGTACATGCCGTGGTGCTGTGTTATGTTACACTCCTAGTTGCTCTTTGTCCCCACGCCCTACTGATTCTACTGTTCCACCTTCTTTTCTCTCTGCCTAGAACCCTTTCTTCCTGTTCCGTTATTTCTCAAACTCAGCTAATTAAACTAAGACGTGGTGTTGCCTCTGCCAAACAACCAGAATGGTGCAAATGGTTTATTCTGGGCTGCCAATTGAAAGGCTAGTGGCCCAACAATACCCCTGAGTGACCTGACGACCTGCATCTGTAGGATGAGAGTCCTTGAAGCCTCCATGGCGCGCAGGTGTACTCTGCACACACTGATGGAGTGGTATCCATCAGTCTAAAGCAAAAGTGTTCCCTGAGATTCTCAACTGTACTTGAGTGAAGAACTATTGTTTTTCCTGAAACAATGTCTTAGCAGCTCTTGATGGAGCCAGAGTCACAGTGAATGGGATGACATAGAGGTCATGAGTCGGAAGTGACTCAAGGTTAATGGGTAAATTGTACAATTTACTAGTTGACCTCGAGGGGAGATTGGATCAGTTTACGAATGCTTTTCAAACAACTCTGATTTCCTCCCTCGTCCTTTAATTGATATATTTTAGAAAACTATGAAACTATAGAAAGCGATGTATGCTTAAAACAAAGAAGAGGGCAAGTGTCTGGTTCCAGTCCCCCCGAATAAAGAAAGCCCTCTATGTCATCCCATTCACTGTGACTCTGGCTCCATCAAGAGCTGCTAAGACATTGTTTCAGGAAAAACAATAGTTCTTCACTCAAGTACAGTTGAGAACCTCAGGGAACACTTTTGCTTTAGACTGATGGATACCACTCCAATTAGGGGTGCTCGTCTTCAGACTAGTGAAGCATTTCCTAGTCATGACTAAATCAGCTCTGGGGGTTGCAGAACTCTCCGTCATGCCAGTCCAAGGGACGTTTCTTCTCATTTGATATGCCACTTGGTATTCCCTGGGAGCCCTGGATGTCCAAATAATTAGGAACAGGGAAGCGGAGGCACGTACCTGCATCTGAGATCGAAGTAGCTTGTCAACACGAAATAAGTACGTGTCATTGCTGGCATTGTTGAAGCTCCGAATTAAGAAATCAAGTGTTGCATTCATGTTTTGCTTGCTCATGGGCTTCTCCTGAAAGCCTTCCCACCTTTGGAAATGGCTCGCCTTGGCCACGAGAACCAGGGCAGCCAGCAGCAGCAGCAGGTTCCTCAAGCATCCGGCCTTCATCCTTTCAGCTTCAGAAGCCTCCTAACCAGCTGCACCTTTCAGGGTAGGGAGGTGCCAGGCAGCAGCTCCCTTTCTGCACAGCAGCCTTGTCCACACAGACTTTCCCAGGAAATTGACTGCCTGCCTTTAAACAGAAATTTAAGCCTGACTGTTGGTTTCCTAGACCAGGCTCACAGTGTGATGGGAGGCCAAGCTAGCCCCGTCTCCCTGCCCACTCTTCTATCTGAGCTTGTTTTCTACAGTTATGATGCTCATCCAGTTCTTTGGTGATCAGGCAAGGAACATTTCTAGACATTTGCCAAGCTGGACAAGACCCTGTCCCTGTCTTCCCACCTACCAGAGAAGAAAGAGAAAGCCCCAAATAGACCTTCCAGTGCTCTAAGATCTAGTTTGACAGATAGAGGAGAGCCACTGTGGAACTCCAGAGAGACTTATGGAGAGATAAGATAGGACATGAGATTTAGGGACTCAAAAAATTCAATGGGGCAAGAGTGGGGTGTACATTCTACCTCACATTCCAACTACCCGACTAAACCACCATCTCTTCCTTGGGCATTCTCTAGAGACAAATGCCCTCTACTCACCTATTCGCCCTTGCCATAGATTTCTGCCCTGCTGAATCCCACTGTCCCTGATGCCCAGGCTCTTTGTGTGACCCAGTGACGCTTTGTGAGGTAATCTCAGCCAAGCTAAGAGGGAGGACTAAGGTGTGATCCTCAGAAATGAATCCTACAGAGCCCTGAAGGTTAGGGACCACCTCCACCCAGAAACCCATTCAAACTCACTGCTTAAAATACTTGCTACGGCAGGCTCCTGAATGGAATTCTACTCCAGAGAAAAAGAAAAAAGAAGAAGAAGAAGATTCATGGAACAATTGAAAAGTTGTGAATAAAACCTGTAGACCAGTGAATAGTATTTATTGTGGTAGGGCAGGGGA